CAATTTAAGATATTATAGTTCTTTATTGTAAATAGTTATTAAGTTTGTGGATGCAAACATATTGCATTTGTTGGTTAATAGCTCCTAAAAACTGTCAAGAAGTTCTCACGAAATGTGGTGGCAAAAAGAGCGGCGTGTACAAAGTCAATCCTGACGGCAAAGGAGAATTCAAGGTAATATAATATCTATAGTATTTAACAATGATTGTAATTTAATAAATGTTAAATAATGTYATTGATAATGATAACAAACGCGTACTGAYAAAAATCTGAGTAACCTTCTGTTGCCATGCAATTCATGCACATTTTTGTGCCGTGGCATCATTCGCTGTTTGTGCCACATACGAAATGTAGCTCTACGCACTAATTTATGTGTAAAATGATGCTTTTTCCAGGTTTACTGTGACCAGAAGATTGCAGGGGGAGGATGGACAGTCTTCCAGAGAAGAAAAGACGGTTCGGTGGACTTTTTCCGAGGATGGGTCGACTATAAGAATGGGTTTGGAGATCATAATGGCGAGTTCTGGCTTGGTCTCGACAAGATCCATCGATTGACCCACCAAACACGAAACCGTCTTCGTGTTGAGATTGAAGACACTAAAGGAAAGAGCGCGTATGCCGAGTACGATTTCTTTGATGTGACCAGTGAACGAAGCAAGTACAAGTTAAGTCTTGGAACTTACTCAGGTAAATTAAATGTGCCGCGGACACGAACTCCTTTATGCCAGATACAAATTTCAACCGCTTGATTGGCGGACATTAAAAAACTCATACATAATTAATGAGTTATTAGGTCAATAGAATGAGACTATTTGGTCACATGAATTTGCGTATTCAATGTCACTGGAAAAAATAGCGCGCTTTAAAAGCTTGTAAATTTGATGTAATATATATTAACATGTAATATTTACATCAAATTTACAACCTTTAAAGCGCGCGATTTTTTCCAGTGTGTGGGATGACACTGAGTGCTTTGTTAAGTGTTTCGCGCATGATCAGACGTTTGCCCCATTTATGTCAAAACTTATTTTTACGTCAATTTCTCACAGGAATATTAACGGCTTTGAGTTTCAAATTAGTGTTTGAGATTTTTAAGCCGTTTAAAACACTCGAAATCGAGTTTTATCAGGTATAAAGATTCTCTCTCGTGTTTTAAAC